AGAGAGAGAGAGAGAGAGAGAGAGAGAGACTGAGAGAAACCGAGACAGAGAATGAGAGAGAGAAAGAAAGAGAGAAAAAGAGAACAAATGGAAGAAAGAGTGTTATTCAGATCAAGAGGTAGAAACGCAAAAGGAAAGTAAGAATAAGAAAACGTAAGAAAGTAGAAGCACTCTACTCCGAAACCTATAACTTTCACAAACCATTTTCTCTATCCTATCCCCAGATCCGCGGTGAATTTGTCCTCTTCGACAACGGCCTGGTCCAGCTGATTGAGTTCGCTCGTCGTGACACGGAGGAGCACATCACCTACCCTCGCCGCATTCGACTCACAGGGCCCGGTGTTCGAAACGCTCCCCAGATCTGTCTGTGGACCAAGGATGACCTAGATTTCAACCAGTTTGTTCATGAGCTGGAGGAGAAGTCGATCAAAGCCGGCTATGACAAGGCCATATTTAACAGAGCCGTCAAGGTAATTACATTGTCGTGAAAAAGTATGTGTTTTACGTCTCTATCAACTTTATTAGAATTTGTTAGATCCGGGACATAAACGTCCACACGTTTTATTCATTCATTCATTGTTTCACCCATTCAATGCTTACTGATTAAATGATCCAGTTCACGTATTCAAAGCCAGCACCAACTTTTACCACCTTAAAAAGTAGGAAATTTACGTGCCTCCCACCTAAGCCTGGTATGAAATAACACATGTCAATATCTGGATGACACGCGCTACTCAGAATAATTGTCAAATCATCCGTTAATGAGCTATACGGTTAAAGTTGGCAAACATAATTTTTTAAAGAAAATTAACAATAAAATAATTTGCAATGTCGTCTGCAGGTGAAGAATGAAGAGGAGCGAAGAAATGCACCTATCAAAGACAAGGGAATCAATGTGAAAGAAGGCCCTTTCGCCGGTCTTAGCTTTGTATACATGAAGGGCCCTAGTGGCGAGCAGCTGGAGCTCTATAAGATGGTGGTAAGTGTAGATATAGATGATGTTTTAGTAACTATCCTTTTCCTCTATACCTCTGAAATTCTGGTAGGTAAAATCATGATATTAACGTCCCCCTTTCTCTCTCTTTCTCTTTCTCTTTCTCTCTCTCTCTCTCCCTCTTTCTCTCTCTCTCTCTCTCTCTCTCTCTCTCTCTCTCTCTCTCTCTCTGTGAGTGTCTCTAACGTAAAAGGTTGTCTGATAAACATAGCAAATCTCGGCGGTCCTGCGTGCACGATGTGCACTTTAAAGACTTTTTGTTGGTTGAAAATCGTAGAATCTTGGGACAGTTAGCCACGACAAATGTAAAACTAATTTAAAAGTTTCCTGTCACAAAAACCCCCAAATATTTCTATCACACCTGTAAAATACTAAAAAGCACCCTAACCCCTTCCTTGTTTCCCAACGTGAATACTATGTTTCTCTTATTTTTCGAAGGAAGCTTCGGGTATCAGTTTGTATGTCATCTTTATGAATCTCATCACTGTAAATATTTCCCTTGCCTAAGCATAAAACAGAGTGCCCTTTGGGAGATCGATGAACCGATCGCACAACTTGTCGCCCTGTAAACAAACACGTTTGTGCCACGATAGGCGTTTTGACGCCCTCAATCTGGCTAGCAAAGCAAGCCGAACCGAACAGATCTTGCTTATGGGCAGTGGGTACTAGGTATTTGTATCGTCTCACACTCACTCCAAAACCTCTTGTTTTTCTCTCTCAGAACCACACCCGCTGGCATTTCGGCAAGGAGTACTGTAAACGTCGTGGAGTGACCACTGCCTTCCTGGACAACTACAAGGACAACGAGTACAAGAAGAAGGCGGGCCTTACAGGACAGATGTGGGGACTGGTGCAGTTCGGAACTCACACCGATGATCTCTTCGGCTCTGTGAATTTCTACTCGAATGTAAGGATGAAATGAACATTTGTTTGTGATGTCATGGGTATTGATAATGATATTGACAATGATAATAATTCTGATAATAATTATAATTCTAATA